TCTTTTGTAAAACCCAAAGTGCATGGAAGGATGGCCAATTTACTTAATAGTCTTTTGGAAATTGCAAGTGGTGTGGATGTTTTATTGGAGCCGCAGGAGGTCCTATTTCTATAGACTATTTTTCCCTGGAACATCCTCTTCCCCAGGATTTTTTTTTCTTGTCTTTGTGGAGCAATATTTATTAACCAAGACAACAGCTATTAAGCAGAGAGTTGCCTGATTGCTCAGGAAAACTAAATACAACCCCTATAAAAGAAAACATTGTTTTGAGAGCACCCTGGCTTGTTGAAAAGGCCTTGTTACACAACATACCAACCTGAATACTTGTGAAGTATTTTAAAGCAATTTTCCATTATTAGGTAATTAATTATTTTAACTACGTTTTTTATCCGATAGCTCTGCTGTACTGTTATGTAAAGAAATTATGTGATGTGTGGAGCTTTCTTCATAATTCTTTATTTTTTGTCAATAAGGCTGAATCAGCATTAAGGATTCTACATCATGGACAACAAAGGAAGAGAAAACAGATGGTCCTAGGTTGCTAAGCAACATTATAGAAAGATGAAAGCAACCACAGATTTCTATTTAGGTCCTGTAAAATCTCATACAGTAAACACCCACTCCTTTGATCTTATTTAACCATGATGATTCCTTTGTCATCCCCTATTGTTAAGAAGAAAAAGTTTAGCCAGACATATGAAAAGGGGACTCATCAGCTATTTTGGGGACTAGAGATTTATGATGGCAGACTAAATAGGTAAAAAAGACAGCACATATTATAATGGTGCCCTTTAGCACAACTACAATTAAGCCTCTGTCACATATTCTGTTATATTGTGTCCAATCTCCCGCCTCCTCTCCTAGGCTTATAACATACCTATAATAATTCTAGTTACAAAACAGAAATCTGTATGCAGTGTTGTTGTAGCCATGTTGGTCCCAGGATATTAGAGAGACAAGGTGGGTGAAGTAATGATGACTGATCAATCAGTCAGAATAGTCTCTTTTTGAGGAGCTACTGGAAAACAGGCAAGCTAGTAACGTTTTGCAGAAATGGCTTACGTAGTACCGTAAATATCTCAATTACTGTTTTTTATATAGTGCTTTGTTGGCTGTATGGTTTGTTGCTTTTCAAGGTAACTCAGTACAATAAGTGCACATTGTAAAACATTATAGAAAGGAAATTTTACATATGCTAATTACTTCTATTAACGGCCCATTTGACTAGTAGCTGCAGGTATAAACTACTAAACTGCCTGCTTGAATAGCATGAGATGCTGAATATTCATTATATGTAAGATTGTCTGCGTAGCTGCACAGGCAGATATTGATACCCAAATAAAAAGATCCTCTAAACTCATTTTCCTGCCTCTACAGTTTTTCCATATCAAAGAGTTCTGTTTGACTTGGCAAATATGTATGTGCTGTAACTTGCTTTCCAAGCAAAATGACCTGTCCTCAATATATTTAAAGTATTCTTCAATGTCACTACCTGGAAGATTTAAATATGAATATTTTTGATAAGTGCATTACAGTACATATGTATTTTTTTTAATGTGGAGCCATATCAATAAACTGAAGAAAAGGATTTTACACCTTTAAATACTCTTTGACTTCTTAGAACAGAAAGCTTCAAAAGGACTCATTAAGGAGTATTGTTTGAGAGGTACATAGATTTTTATATTCAGTGATGTCAATGAACCATAAATTAAGGTTTGCCAAAGAGTGCATTAAAATGAATGAACCATTAAAATAAATTGTGTAAGGCAATGGGAGTATTTACCTCTAATAAAGTGTGATATTCCCTATGCTTAGAGTGGGAAATATTGCAAATGCTATGGTAAATTTAACTACTGTGGATGGTAAACATCCACTTTTAAGGATACCTATAAAAGGAAATTCAGTTGGCGCCTGATTTTCAAAGTTAGGTGTGTGCAGTTGTACACGTAACACCAATAAACCCTGGTCCTCGGCAGGTGGGATCAAACCTGGGAACCTCTGGAGCTAAATGCATGAGCCTCTACTGCATGAGCTAAAAGCCACATGGTTGTTAGCTAAGGCTGTAGAGCAGACTCATTAATCTCTTTCTAAGCAATCTTGGTGCCACTAGATGGGACAGAGCACCACACCCGGAAGGTGTGTGGGTTACATACACTTAGATTTGTATGTGCCTAGTTTATGGATATAAGTCATGTATTTACACAAAGTTATGTCAAGTTATGTGCAGGCATAAATACCTGCTGTGCACATATACATTCAATATGTATTTACTAGGTATGTATCATTAGTGTATTTCGATGTAGCAGTTCTTATGTTCTGAAAATGTATTTAAAGCTACAGCTATGTAACATTTGTTTTTCAGAAAAATGGGGACATATTTCAAGAAGTATTTGTAAATCTCTTTTATGCATCTTTTGAACCATGCTCTTGTTATGCATGTACAATCTGTCAGCCCAACAAGAATCCCTGCTGTAAAGCTGTCTGGGGACTGCATGAGACTGGTAGGCAGGGAAAACTAAAACTGTGTAAACAATTTTCAGAGTCACAAAGGGAATACCCCAGTAAAATCATTAACTGGCAAATCTGCTTTGTTTATTATAGGCTTAACCTATTAGCGGTGTGTATTTTATTATGCATTTTTATAAAGATAAGCAGACGTGTTGGCAATACAAATTATTTTCTTAGGTAAATATTAAAAGAGAGGGTGATATCATTTTAAACTTAAAACCAGAAACCTAAATGTATCTATATGCATATTTCTGCTTAAAACAGAGATGGGCTAAATATCCATGCCACCTCCAATTTCCATGGTTTGGATATAATGGAATCCAGATCCAGACCAAACCTGCTTTGGTTTTTGAAACCGAAAACCCACACTCTCAGCCCATCTCTATGAAACCTCAACTTCAGACATTCTTTTGCAGTTGTGCTATAAAGAACATAAAGGCCATACTGGGTCATAGAATCATAGAATATCAGGGTTGGAAGGGACCTCAGGAGGTCATCTAGTCCAACCCCCTGTTCAAAGCAGGACCAATCCCAATTTTTGCCCCAGATCCCTAAATGGCCCCCTCAAGGATTGAACTCACAACCCTGGGTTTAGCAGGCCAATGCTCAAACCACTGAGCTATCCCTCCCCCAGTGGTCAGACCAGTGGTCCATCTAACTAAGTATCCTGTCTTCCAACAGTAGCTGGAGCTGGTTGTTTCAGAGGGAATGAACAGAATAGGGCAATTTATTGCGTGATCCATCCCTTGTGATCCAGTCCCAGCTTCTGGCAGTCAGACATTAAGGGACACACAGAGCACTGAGTTGCATCCCTGATCATCTTGGCTAATAGTCATTGATGGACCTATCGTCCATGAACTTATCCAGTTCTTTTTTAAAACCCAAGTTCCACCAGTTGACTGTGCATTGTGTGAAGTACTTCCTTATATTTGTATTAAAGCTGTTACCTATTAATAGCCTTGAGTGACCGCTGATTCTTGGGTAAATAACACTTCCTTGTTCAGAGTTCAGGTGCTGACTCTGTGGGTGCTCCAAGGCTGGCGGACCCATGGGGAAAAAATTAGCAGGTGCTTAGTACCCACGGCAGCCAAGCTGTGTCCTTATTCACTTTCTCCACATCATTCATAATTTTATAGACCTCTATCATATCCCCCCTTAGTCGTCTCTTTCCCAAGCTGAACATAGAATCATAGAATCATAGAATATCAGGGTTGGAAGGGACCCCAGAAGGTCATCTAGTCCAACCCCCTGCTCGAAGCAGGACCAATTCCCAGTTAAATCATCCCAGCCAGGGCTTTGTCAAGCCTGACCTTAAAAACCTCTAAGGAAGGAGATTCTACCACCTCCCTAGGTAACGCATTCCAGTGTTTCACCACCCTCTTAGTGAAAAAGTTTTTCCTAATATCCAATCTAAACCTCCCCCACTGCAGCTTGAGACCATTACTCCTCGTTCTGTCCCAGTCCTTTTAATCTTTCCTCATATGAAGCTGTTTCATACCCCCAATCATTTTTATTGCCATTCTCTATACTCTGTCTCTCTCTCCCCCGCCTTCCCTCCCCCATTTTAGTGTCTTTTTTGAAATGGTGCAACCTACCCTTTGTTTTCTCTCTTTTAACTGGAGTGCCTGGGAATGCTTTCAGGATCATCGAATGATCCTTCATTTAATTTCGTGACAAGCCTTTTGTTATCGTAATCACCCTGCCTCTGTTTATAAACAAACTCACTGCCCCAAGGGCAGAAGCTGTTAGCAGCACAGAACTCATCACATTCCACACTCAAACTCTGGCTCCTGGGTGCTGAGCTAACCGCTTGCACACATGAGCACGACTAGGGACAGCTGCCGGTGAGTGGGTGCCCGCTCCAATGGGCAGGGCTAGGGGTGGGGCTGTGAGTGGAACGGGCACGCCGGTGGAGCTACCAGTGCAGGGCACTGGCTCCTGGGAGTAGAGGCCCGACATGCTGCTGCTTTCGCAGGTAGAGCGCTGCAGCTTCGCAGATACCTATTTTTAGCCACGGATATCTGCATCCGCGAACATAAATTTTGTATCCACACAGGGCTCTAGTTCCTTTCTCTTCCTTCCATTGGACAATACTTTTGTAAATCTCAGAATGCAAAGTAAGCTTCGTAGCCTGATCCCATTTGCCAGGTGGGGCGTAAAAATCTTCCATTGACTGTAATAGACTTTGACTCATGCCCTTGGAACACAAACAGGATAGCTTGATTTAAGTGGTTCAGCCATGCAGAGATTTAGGCCTGGTCTACACTGGGGGATTGACCTAAGATACGCAACTTCAGCTACGAGAATAGCAACTCTGCTTCCGCCTCTCGTTGCAGTGGAGTACAGGAATCGACGGCAGAGCAATTGGGGATCGATTTATCGCGTCTACACTAGACGCGGTAAATCGATCCCCGATAGATCGATCTCTACCCGCTGATCTGGCGGATAGTGTAGACGTACCCTTAGAACAATGAGTTGTTATTTCTTTCCAGTTGATGGAAGTTGGTCTTGTTGGTCATCATGGTCAAAGTGCTCAGCAACTTGTGGAGGTGGACATTACATGAGGACCCGCTCATGCACAAACCCAGCCCCAGCCTATGGAGGGGACATCTGCCTTGGACTTCACACTGAAGAGGCACTTTGCAACACACAACCCTGTCCAGGTACAGCAAATCCATACAGTACTGCTTTGCTTTGAATATACCATAAAATAGGGCTGCTACCGCTCAACCTGTTCAGTAAAGTACATTTTGCTTTTATCAACCTATTAAACATCTAGGAGCAAATTCTTTCTGTCCTCTGATACATGCACATCAGCTTACAATGAATTTGCTGTGATTGTACATCTAAGGGCAGAATTTGGCCCACAGGAGATAGCCCTAATGTCATGTTAAATGAATTTTTAAGAGGCTATCAGTTTAGTTTGCAGGTTTCAGGTCAATGCAATTTAAAATGGTGTAGTTCTGTACACAAAAGATTGATGCCTTGAGAGATTTTTAGCTATAACAGCACAACAAACACTTCAGTTGTAGTACTGGGTGTTGTAGGGCAAGCAGAAGTTTGGAGGCTCTAGATCCTCAGCTGATGTAACTCAATGTAATGCTGAAGACTTCAATGGAGTTGTATCAGTTCTCACCACCTGAGGACCTACCTAGCTCCTGATCTGAAAAAAAAGACGTTTTGATTTAAAAATTATATCTGAGCTCTTCTAAAGTAAGATATGGGAACAAAGTTTAGTGCAATCTATTTTCACATTTACAAAAATGTTAATCCTTTAAAATGCTTTCCTAGATTGTAAGACCTTTGGGGCAGGAACTGCATCTTTGTACATACTTGTACATCACTTTGGGGCCTCTGGGCACTACTGTAATATCTATATGTAATCATCATGGAAGTGGACCATGATATTTTCTGTCATTTTGATTGTCTTGACCCTTGCCAAGTGGTCTTGTGAAATATTAAATCTTTGCAAAACAAGGAAAATAAAAGGACTAATAAAAGAAGTAGAAAGTAAAAAGTAACATAAAAAGATAAGTCAAGGCACAGGAACCACTGGGAAAGCTTTTATGTCTTGCTGGTTTATAGGTTATTGTTAACACCTTCTGTTCTTGATTATTGGAAAAAAGTAATGTCTGCTAGCAGCAATAATGTTCTGTTGCATTACCTGCTTGATTGAGGGGTTTATAAACTTTATGGCATAAACTTATTTCTCATGTGATGAGGTCATGCACATGAGCATGCAAGACCCAAGAGTGTGAATTTATAGATGCTATTACCCAAACTACAATTACAAGTAATTTCCCTTTCTAAGTACTTCATGACTTGCCGTGGAATAAAATAGCACCTACTCTGTCAAAATTACAGCAAACTTTACTCTCCACCTTGGGTTTTAAAAAGTGAAAATAGAACTCTGTAATTGATTGGATTCCTCAAGAGGGATGGCTCATATATGTACTTAAAATTATCACAGCAGCCTCAGATCCTTAAGGCATTTTTAAAAGGTCAGAACTGTCATGTTTCTTGTGCTGTTTCCAGTATTATTATAGTGGTTTCTCTTACAGTGCAGCTATTGTTAATGGTCTGTTAGCATTTCCATTAGCAACCCCGGTTTTCAGGCAATTATAACTTGTGCTCTTTAGCTTATTATGACTTGATTGTTAATCTATTTTTTCCAACAAAAATCATATATCATCTACATTACAGCCTTTTTAATCATCAGAGTGACACAAGTCTCACATACCTCTTGCTTTGTCTAATATTCAAATCTAACTAAAAACCAACCTTATTTTAGATGAAAATTTGCAGTTTGTTTTCTTCTGTCTCCCCCTCACAAACAAATATGTCTTCTAACTAGCTGTGATTTAGTTTGAAAAGTAGCCATTGCCATATGCAGTAGCTGCTTTTTCAGAGCTCTCTTTTACTGTTCTTATTACACATTATGGGCCAAAACTGATCTGGCTGCTGTAAACTGCTCCATGTGCACAGACCGCTGCATGCGTGCAGGGCCATATTGACTTTGAGGGGAACACCCACAGGCACAGGGGTATACCTATACTAATCAGTTTGCAGGACAGAGAGCCTGTATTTTTAAAACAAGTGTACAAATCTCAGGTTTAAGAGGGAAAGGAATATAGTCATTTCAAACAGATCTTTGGTTGAAACTTGGCATCTGGAAATTACAAACCCAGGTGGAATTTTTAATACAAGAGAATAATGATGATAATTGTTCAAGTGGTGAACAAGAAAAAAAAAGGCTCTTGCAATTTCAAACAGTTTTATTTTGCCAAAATTTAACAGAAAATTAAATTTTACATGCTGCTGATCCTCAGGAGGTGTTGAGGTTTTGTTTTGTTTTTTAAATGTCAGTTACAACTGGAAGTGACCAAGACATTTACACTTGAAAAACAATTACAGAATGGTTTATGCACAATAACTGTTTCTCAAACTGTCTTTTCAACTTTATATTCCTATCTTTTAATTTTAACTAAACAAAATCTTACTTCAATGAATGGAATGTCTATACCATTGATCAGTAATTCTCTATGTACGGCATATCACTGAATGTTATCTGAAGCAATGGTGTCTATAATTTGTAGTATTGCATACAATAATATTGGGTACTTAGAATAATGTATTTGTGGCAGCATGAAGAGAGAAACAACATGCTGTCCTTGGACCAGTCACTCACACACACAAATAATGGAAAAGAAAAATTGAATTTTTAGAAAGAAATGCACAGTTCTGTTGGAGAAGAATGTGGATAAACATTGATTCTTCTTCACTTAGTGTACAGATAGGTGCTCAACTTCAGGTGCACTTACACTACATGTTTTTGATCACAGATTTTTGGTAGTAGTGCCTGTTGGACCTGTGCATGTGCCCTACATGTCCTCATGCCCCGCACTGAGGCTAGATAGGGCTATGAGATTGAACCGCCCTAAGTTCCTTCTCAATCACCTTCACCTGAGATGGCGCATTAGTGTGCCTTTCTACTCAGAACCATGAACGACTCTAATTAATTGTTCTTTCTTTCTTTTTCTGTTTGTTTTAGAGGGGTCAGTCTAAATTCCTTCCCCACTGGGGACTGGGAACTTTCTCCTCAGATCACCATTGTGCTGGGGTATTCCGTGGCTCACTGGGCTTCAAATGGTGCCTCTCTTTCCAGGAAGCTATCCCAGTTACTGACAAGCACTCCCCTTTGCATCTGCTGCCTGAGGGAGTTTCATTGTTCCCCCAAAGTGCTCCATTTGCTGTGCTTTTAAAGGCAGGGCTAGGAAGAATTGAGAGATAAGGCTCATTGTCTTGATGATGGAAGTCTCTCTCCATCCAGCCTCAGATCCAAGCCAGGATGCCCCCTGGACATTAGCATCAGAGTGAGTACGGTGCCTCTTCAATTTCAGCACATTCACCTGAATCTGCCCAAGGTAAAGCCTTTGAGAAGCCCCATGAAAATATAGCTCATTCTCCTCAGAAGGGGTCTACTTCAAAAAAGTCTCAGTGTCCTCCAAGTCAGTCCGTTTTGGAGACCCACGCTGGATACTACTGAGGCTTCAGGCACTGTCAGTACCAACCTCATGCCCAGGGCTCCGGGCTCTTCTAAGAACAGGGCACCAAACATGCTTGAGTTCCGAGACCATCTGTGCTGAAGAAGCAGAACTTAGCAGCACAGGAATCTAAGCACTCCTCTTCTAAGAAGGTAGTGCCTACAATGCCCTTGGTACTATCTGTACCTATATTGACTTCCAAGACATCCTTAGTACCAGTAGCCATGCCTCTCCTATGATCCTGACATTTCCTAAGACATCCTCCTTGATACCAACTATATCTACCAAAAGAGTGCAGATGGAGCAGCTTATGTCCTTGGTACTGACAGTGGAACATAGCCCCATACTTCAAACTTACCCAGTACTACAGGAATTCAGATATTCCAGAGATGTAATTTTTTCAGCTAAACCGGAGTATCCCCTGCTAGTGGGTACCGAAAGATTATCTGTACTAACACAAGCATGCTCATCAAGATTGGACCTTTCCCCAGTACCGTTTGACTCTCTGACATCTTTGGAGAGTGGTGGAGCTCCCCCGCTTGATAAAGATGTACTCTTGGCTGAGTTCCTTTCTCCTACCTTTGAGGAAAAAGAAGAGTTACATCAAAGACAAGCACATGCCCCCACAATCTGGTTCAAGCACAGTGATGCCACACCTCATGTCCTATGGACCCCTTCAGTTGCCATATCGCCAACAGTTTTGGGGGGGGCGCCTCTAATGTCTTGTGGAGGGCTACAGAAGAAGAAATTCTTCTACTCTGTCTATCCCTCCTCACCTTCCTCAGGTTCAAGTATCCTTCGAGAAGCAGGAGGCCAGAGCAGATAAGGAGGCTACCTCACAGACAAATATTTCTTTTTCTTCCCCAGATGAGATGGTTATGCCTCCCCCACCTTCTATAGCTGATGATTTATGAGATTTCCGGGGGTTAATTAAACATTATGTAGACTCTTTACAGATCCCCTTGAAGGAAGTCAAAGAATTGCTGCATAAACTCCTGGATATCCTTCAATGGACTCCTTCTGCCTATGTTGCCCTGCCCATCAATGAGGCACTACTGGATCCTGACAAGACCATGTGGCAGAGCCCAGCAATGATACCACCAACATATAAAAGAACCAATAAAAATATGTCCCAGCTAAGGACTCTGAATTTTTTTCCCACCCATCCTGCATCCAACTCCCTGATTGTGGAGGCAGTGAATGAATGTGACAAGAAACACCATACTAAAGCCACTCCGTAAAATAAGGATAAAAAATATCTTGATTATTTGGCCATAAGACCTGTTTCTTACCCGTTTCAATGGCCCAGTATAGGCAGGTCTGGACTCAAAGCAACCCCAGATGGCCAGGTTTTAAGTTTACTTGCGATGAACAGCAGTGAGGTAACTCCATGTAGAGTGCCTACTTTCAAAACAGGAAGTAAAAGTCAAAGTTTGATGCTGTATGCTCAAAGTAATACACATGTATTATTTGCACTGGTGCTTCTTTCCAAGCATTCATGCCAAATAACTGTATGTGCCTGTAGCGGAAAGAGCTGTCATTCAGCACAGGTGAGAGTGTCCTCATCCATATACACATACCTGAATATACATGAATAATTTCACATTCAGATAACCAAGGTGAATACATTTTGTTGATCATTGGCCTAGCCTCCAATATAGAGCTTTTAGCCATATATGACCAAGGGAATTTGGTGGGTTTTATTCTAGAGGGAGTAATCAAAATTAGTATGCTTCCACCAGATTTACCCATGTTTTTTTGATATAACATAGCCAGCTCAGGATTGGAGATGTGCATAGGCTTCTGTTTCAGAGATCTATATGCTTCTCAGCTAAGGTCAAGGATCTGGGCTAAAATTTTTAACCTTACAGAATGACTTTAAACTTGCAGCAGTGTGAGCACAGCCTTACATTTCTTTTGAATTTTACTTAATACCCTAAAATTATTTCCATCTCCCCCACCCCATTTATTTAAAACATAATTTTTAATTAGGGAGCAGATAAGCAACAATGCTATGTTATACACAGCACCCTGAATTAAGCTTTACAAAAATGCAGTCTGAAAACATTCACTATTAGATATTATAGCATACTTTTTTAAAGTGATTTAGGACTTTATTTTATTGTTTGAGATAGTAGAATGGTAATTTGTAAATATGAGTACTATATGCTAGAGTTATGCAGAATATTCACAGTAAAAGCTGAAACCATGTGAGACTCTTCTGGTTTCAGGTTTTTCATTTAAAAATCAGACTGCTTCCTCCAAAAGATTCACAACCCTTTCAAATTACCCTAAATTTATTTTGAATGAACTTGGGTCCACTTTGCAGTAGAATGAGGCTGCTTTATAGTTTTGCATTTGAAATCATGTGACATTTTTGAATCTGCCTGGTTTTGACACAAAACTAGGTGAAATTTGATAGTGAGATCTAAGTTTTGCTTTGGGTTATTGGATTGATTTAACTCAAACCAGAAACACAAGCATAACTTAGTTGTTGAATAAGAGTATCTGTTTCCACGAACTCCTGGAAAGTGAAACAAATGATTTTTACAGCCCTCTATCTACTACTGTACACCAACCCTAGAAAAGTGCCTTGAAGACAGGACTTACTCATGTACTGTAAGAAAGACGTTAGATGAGTAAACACACAGTATCTAATATGGATCAGATAAATTCACTTCATTTAAGAGTAATATCCTGAGATCACACAGAGATAGCATGGTGTGAAAATAAAAATCCATTAAATAAAATTAGATACACAGAAGAACAAAGCTAAAAAAGAAACAGAGGCTGACAATGATCCAAACCTGATACAGAGAAGGAACCTGGAGATCTGATCTGAGATATAGAAGAGTGCCTTACGATTTCAGAAGTGAAGAACAAGGCCAGAGTAACAAGAAGGTGGCTGGGTTTTTTTTAATTTAAAGTAACATCTTGCATCAAACCTGGAACCAGGGCCGTCCTTATCCATATGCAAACTACGCAGCTGCATAGGGCACCAGGAAATTTGCGTGCTGCTCCAATGGCCAGCCCAATCCCCCGTCCGGCTGAGCTGGCCAGGAAAGCTGCCCCGCTCCTCCTCGCCTCTTCCCCAAAGCCTCCGCCCCAACTCTTCCCACCCCTGCTCTGCCCCTTCCCCTAAGCTACGTCCTGGGGGCTGCAGCAGGGGTCGGGCGCACGCCGCACTCACCAGGCGGCGGGAAGTGGAGCAACCCAGCCCCAGCTTGCTCTGCTGTGCCAGCTTCCAGCTGCGTCGCCGGTGGGTTCTGGGAGGCGGTTCCCCCTACCCCCAAGTCTGGGCACCAGGAGAGCAGAGTGGAGCGGGTTGGGGTCATGTCACTCCACTTCCCACCGCACTGTGAGTGCAGGGTCGGGCGTGCCCTGCAATCACTGGGCGCTAGGAAGTGGAACAACCCATCCCCAACCCGCTCCACTCCACTGGCTCATGCTGTGGGATGGTTTCCCTCCTGCCCACCAAGCCTGCTCCTGCCCCCCCCCACAGATCTTGGGCACAGTCCCTGGTGGAGGCCTAGGGTCAGCCCCTCCCCCCTCTCAGGGGGGGCTGCCTAGGGCACCACAATGTCTAGGGACGGCCCTGCCTGGAAAACATTTCTATAGGTCTACGTTGCTACTGGTCAGTTACCTAAATTAACAAACTGGCATTGTCTGCCTTGAAGGCCTGTGATAAACTTAAGGCAACATAGTTAGACTTTTTATTGCACACTCATGCACACAAGTACAGTGGGGGGAAATGCAATATTGCTGTGATGAACGTAACATCCTGTAGAACATTTACAATACTGAACTGTCAATTTCAGAGGGAAGGTTGCATTTTTTGTGGTCTTCGCCATATATGGGACAAATGATCAGCTGATGTGAATTGACATAGTTTCACTGAAGTCAATGGAACTATGCCAGTTTACATGAGCTGAAGATCTGGCATGTATCCTGTCCTTATTTATAGGAAGACATTTAATTTTTCATTCTGATGTGGTTCATTTGCACAACTTATTTCCAATATTTCCTTCTCCTTATAACTAATACAGACAACTGGTCCGACTGGTCTGAGTGGTCTGATTGTGATTCATCTGGAGTCCAGTTCCGTGTTCGTCAGTGTATCATTTTATTTCCGGTGGGCAACCAGTGTTCTGGGAACACCACTGAGAGTCAAGCTTGTATTTTCGATTCTAACTTCATACCAGGTAAGATCATTTACTTTTAAAGAATAAGTGAAATCACTCACAACAACTCTGCTGCACAGTGCAGAAGGGAGCCAAATCACAGAAGCTATGGAAACTGCCTTGGAGGAGCTGTCCAGATGCAAAAGACAGCTGTGCAGGATGCTTCTCATTCCACCACTTCTTTACTATATTTGAGAGTAATGTAGCTGTTCCAAACTCATTTCAGTAAACTTCACTATACTGTGTTCCCATTCGTGTGTTACTGACCTGATCATGTCCCTTTCAAAGTGGTTTCAGATTTTACAAGAATACTGCTGTTCTTGGAGCACAATAGGCATGGCCAGCCCCAGGCATATGCAAAGTGTCCCACCAGACAAAGCCTCTTGCTTTTATGCTGCCCTTTTTTGGAAATTGTTTCCCAGAATGCACGCCTGGCACCTTCTAACTTGAAAGATGGATTGTGATGGACCAAATTATAGGGCTATCAGCCTCACATCAATCCCAGACAAGATAATGGAGCAGTTGATACAGAACTTGATGATCAAGAATTAAAAGAGAGTAATATAATTAATGCCAAACAACATGGGTTTATGGAAAATAGATCCTGTCAAACTTAATTGATATTTTTAATGAAATTACAAATTTGGTTGATAAAGGTGTCAAGATTCCTTCACCACTCTGAACTCTAGCGTACAGATGTGGGGACCTGCATGAAAACCTCCTAAGCTTACTTTTACCAGCTTAGGTTAAAACTTCCCCAAGGTAAAAACTATTTTACCTTTTGCCCTTGGACTTTATCGCTGCCACCACCAAATGTCTAACAGGTATATAACTGGGAAAGAGCCCATTTGGAAACATCTTTCCCCCCCAAATTCTCCCAACGCTTACACCCCCTTTCCTGGGGAAGGCTTGATAGCAATTTGCAATTTCCTCACCAATTTGCATAGGTGACCACAGACCCAAACCCTTGGATCTTAAGAACAATGAAAAAGCAATCAGATTCTTAAAAGAAGAATTTTAATAGAAGAAAAAGTAAAAAGAATTATCTCTGTAAAATCAGGATGGTAAATACCTTACAGGGTAATTAGATTCAAAACATAGAGAATCCCTCTAGGCAAAACCTTAAGTCACAAAAAGACACAAAACCAGGAATCTGCATTCCATTCAGCACAGCTTATTTTCTCAGCCATTTAAAGAAATCAGAATCTAATGCATCTCTAGCTAAATTACTTACTAAGTTCTAAGACTCCATTCCTGTTCTGACCCCGGCAAAAGTATCACACAGACAGAGGGAGAGAGGCTTTGCTTCTCCCTCCCCCCAGCTTTTGAAAGTATCTTGTCTCCTCATTGGTCATTTTGGTCAGGTGCCAGCGAGGTTATTTTAGCTTCTTAACGCTTTACAGGTGAAAGGGTTTTTTCTCTGGCCAGGAGGGATTTTAAAGGTGTTTACCCTTCCCTTTATATTTATGACAAAAGGTAATAGTGTTGATGTAATACACTTAGACTTCTGTATGATATTTGACTTAGTACTGCACCGTTTGATTAAAAAACTAGAACAATCCAAAATTAATATTGCATAAATTAAATTTATCAGGTGATCTGGAAGAAAACATAAAATCATCACTGATAAAGTTTGCAGATGACAAAAAGATTAAGGGAGAGGTAAATAATGAAGAGGATAGGTCACTGATACAAAGTGACCTGGATTGCTTGGTAAAATAGGCAAATGTAAAATTATACATGTAGGAACAAAGAACATAGGTCATTTATATAAGATTTGGGATACTATCCTGGTAAGCAGTGACTCTGAAAAAGATTTGGGGGTTGTAGTGAATAATTAGCTGAACATGAGCTCCCAGTGCGACGTTGTGGTCATAAAATGCCTAAACAGGGGAATCTCAGGTAGGAGTAGGAAGGTTATATTACCCCTGTATTTGGCATGGGCGCAAACCACTGCTGGAATACCGTGTCCAGTTCTGGTGTCCACAATTCAAGAAGGTTGTTGATGAACTGGAGAGGGTTTGGAGAATAACCACAAGAATGATTAAAGATAGGAAAATATGCCTCAAAGAGCTCAGTGTGTATAGCTTAACAAGGAGAAGATAAGGGTGACTTGATCCAATCTATACATACCTGCAAGTGGAACAAAAAAAAAATCATAGCTTTTCAATCTAGCAGAAAAAGTTATGACAAGTTCCAACAGCTGGAAATTGAAACCAGATAAATTCAGACAGGAAGTAATTTTTTAACAGGGAAGGTAATTATCCATTAGAACAATTTACTGTGGGCTGTGATGGATTCTCCATTTGATGGGAATTTTAAAATCAAGATTGGATGTTTTTTCTAAAATTGCTTCTCTAGTTCAAACGGGAATTAATTCAGGGAATTTCTATGTGTTATGCAGGAGGTCAGCTTAGATGATCCCAGTGATCCCTTCTGGCCTTAAAATCTATGAATCTATGAAACTCTACAAATAGCAGAAATGTACCATGTCCCTGTGCATGCTTAACATAGTAAGTAACAATAGTGTCACAAACTGAAGAAAACCTTCTGAACCATCCTGGTCAACAACCCTGACAACCTTCACCAGATGATAAAGCTTCCTTATATACTCAGTGAACAATGTTACCAAATTTTACACAGGTTTGTTCACCACGTGTTCACACCTCCCTGGTATTGCTCCTACCAGACTAATATGAAAAAGGAGCATATTCAAGGAGGGTGGATGTTGCCTTGATGGACATCCTGGCCTTCTTAAACTCTTATGTAAAATTCCTGTGGTATTTAATAAGGGTGAAATCAATGGGATTCTGTAGAAATTAAATATAAGTCTATACATATTATTCTGCAAACCCGAGAGAATTTAATAGGAAGCTAGGTCTTAAAATTCTTAAAATAAGCTTTAGGGTGAGATTCACTAGAGACCTGCTCCTGCTCTCATTTAAGTTAATGAGAAAACTCCAGTTGACTATAATGGAGCAGGATCAGACCTCAGGTGCAGGAAAGAATAGGTGACAGGGTTGGTTTTAAGCCATCTTTACCCCTTCCAAATTCTGAGCTATAGGACTGCTTTAAGTTTCAGAATGTTATTGTTCTCTGGTAAATTCTATGAGCACTATGGCTTGGTCTACATTACCAACTTATGTCTGTATAACTGCGTCGCTCAGGGGCGTGGCTTTTCCACACCTCTGATTGACATAGTTATACCAACATACTCCCAGTGTGGACAGTTCTGCGTCAATGGGAGAGTTTCTCCCGTTGATATAGCTACCGCCCCTCGGGGAGGTGGAATACCTATGCTGACAGGATAATCTCTCCCATCGGTGTAGGTAGTGTCTTCACTAAGTACTACAGCGGTGCACTAAGTATGGACAAGTCCTATGCTGTAAGGGAAATTGGTGAACAGCAGTCTTTAAATAAAAAAATCATATTACTTAACTTCCTAAACATTAACGTATTCCTCCTCCAGAATTAGGGGTGAGGTGTCTACTCACCTATTCACCTTACACCTCATCAGCTAATAAACTACGCAATTGAGAATGATGTATAAAAATGGGGCATTTCACACATGTATCAGATTTCCCCAAGTCCCTTCCCTGTCCATCCCTTTTGTTTTTGACAGCTTTGTGGATGTTATATGGTTTAATAAGACAATATGCCATTAACCCAGTCTTGAAAAACTGTCATGAAAATTTATGAGTTTGAGCATAAAATTTACTCACGTCTCCTTTACTGTGGTGATTTGATGATGATGACAAATTAATGATACTTTATTAGTCAGAAAATAACTCATCTCAAGAAAAGGATCGAGTAGAATTTTGCCAGGCTTTTTAACCAAATAGTCTTGTACTTCACAGGCACTGGAGGCTTCCCCGCCTTTATATCTGGACACATAGGGCCAGATCTTCTGATGCTGTAAATATGCATAATTCCATTGATTTTAATGGAGATGTGCTGATTTACACCAGCTGGGGATTTGGCTATTCAGTATAACATTCTACATATTCTTTTCATTCTCCTTAGCTGAACATCTGCATTGCTTTCTGTATTCATTGCCTGAGAGATCTGATTTGTTTTTTTATTTTTCAGAACTTTGGAGATATTCATCTAATTTGAATGACCCTCATGTGTAAAACAGACAACCATATACTATAGCAGTTGCTATGGAAATCATTTCATGCCATGCATTACTATTAGGTTAATAACTGGTCACAACATTAAATGTGTTTAGCTGTGCCTCAGGTCTTTAACTCCCACATGACTGCTAAATACCTGATAAGACAATAATATCATGTGTCATTCTTCAACATTTCTTCAGATTTGCAACTGTATTATGTTTCTTATCACTGCTGTCTCTTAAATCCCCAAAACAGTGTGGGTGGCAACACTGTATTGCTATTAAAAATCATCTTTCCCTCTGTGCACATAAAAAAACAGTAGTCTGCCCACAGACAAAATAATGGCACCTTCCTCTGTAACGTGAAATAGAGTTATGTTTGCTCAGAACAGCAACCTTTTTCCCTGTGACTGAAAATACATGCAGTGCAGAAGCACGATGAGATCAATACATTTAAATGATGTTGGTTTTGTGTAACTGTTGTGCAGTGAATAGGAATACATTTGAAGCCAGTAACATTTTTATTTCTCATCCAAAACAAATGAAAAAATCTCAGTGTGAAAAAAGGAGGATTCTGGGAACTCCCACATCGTATTTGTTCATCTTCCTCATGGCTTTAAAACAAGATTTAGTAAGACTGAAATACTATTAGTATCCCAGTTACTAGAATTGAAAATGCACATGGCATTTTGGACCACTCATTTTTTAAAAAAATATGGAATGAGGAATGTTTGATTAATAATAAAATATTTTATTACAGTATTGAAACCACCTCCTCTCTGGCCTTCCCAATTCCCATCCCCCACCCCTTCAGTCCATCCAGAATGCAGCAGCTAACCTCATCTTCCTGCCCCATCCCTTAGACCGGAGGTTCTCAACCTTTTTCTTTCTGAAGACCACCCAC